AACAAGAAAACCTTGGGTATCAAGTCACCCAATTTTCAACCTCAGCCTCCATTATGGAGTTTCAGACACTAACTCCCAGACAAGGAAAGAATGTCAAAAAATTAATGCCATAAACACAAGTTTTAGGGTTCCATATTTCATTCTCCACCGTGTTTTAGTTAAGAGAATAAGTTAGATGATTTTCTTTCTTTTTTTAAGAGGAGAAGAAATTACATGTATTTCCACAGAAACAAAGATCCAATGGGGCAAAATAAATTTGAATCTTTAGTATAAGGAAAATATAATTCGTAAATGGTGAATAAGCACATGGTCATTCTCTTCTTATCCTTAAGATATCAGGCTGGACATTGTGGCTCATGCCTGTAATTCCAGCACTTTGGAAGGCCGAGGCATGAGTATAGCTTTAGCCCAGGAGTTTGAGAGCAGTCTAGGCAATACATCGAGACCTCATCTCAACAAAAAGTAAAAAAAATTAGTCAGGTATGGTTGCACGTGCCTGTAGTCCCAGTTACTCTGGATGCTGAGACAGAAGGATTATCTGAGATCAGTAGGTTGAGGCTGCGGTGAGCCATGATCAGATCATGCCACTACAATCCAGCCTGGGTGACAGAATGAGTCTTTGACTCAAAAAAAAAAAAAAAAAAAAAAGATTCATTTCATGAATCCAATAATGTGTGAATTGCAAAAGCTTTTCAAATTTTTAAGATCATTCTGTAGTCACTTAGTCAAATTATTTTCTTGTCCGAAGATTAAGGATTAAAGTATTCATTTTCTTTTTTTAAATTAAAATTATTTATTTTTAATTGACAAATAAGAATTGTGTATATTTGTGGTGTACAACCTGTTTTGAAATATGTTTACATTAGAGAATGGCTAAATCAAGCTAATTAACATACACCTTGCTTCACATTTCTTTTTTTTGTGAAATGAAAATGTATTCTCTAGGCAATTTTCAAGTATAGACTACATTAAGAGGAGAAGAAATTACAAGTATTTCTACAGAAACAAAGACCCAATGGGGTAAAATAAATTTGAATCTTTAGTATCAGGAAAATATAATTCATGAATGGTGAATGAGCACATGGTTATTTTCTTCCTATCCTTAAGATATCAGGCTGGGCGTACATCTCTTGAACTTATTCCTGTTGTCTGAAATTTTGTAATCATTGGCCAACATTTCCTTAGCCTTCCACTGCTCTTGGCCCTTGGTAACCATCATTATATTCTCTGGCTCTATCTTTCTCAACATCCTCTCAAGATTCGGGTGCAAGAGTATCCCGTTGGCAGAGCTCAGATCACATGCTTCCTTGGGACCAGGAAGCCGAGGGAACAGGAAGATCTGCCCCTCTTTGGTTCTGTGATGAGAGGCAGGCTGTTCTCCCACCTAGTCGGGAATTACCCCAATAGGAAGGATAGTTAAATACTTGTCAACCACACAAACAATTGTTCTGAAGAAGCTGGTAAGTCTCAGGACAGTGTGTCACCTTTCAGGCTGACTTGTTTGGGGAAAGGCTGGTATTGATTATAGCGCCATGACAACATTAAGTGGTTTGCAAACCTTCTATCTGCTTTAGTTAATCCACATAGTGACTGCGTTGCTTTCTTTCCTTACCATCAACTGCATGTATGAGGCATGGGTAAATATTGATTTTGTTTCAAAATCCTAATAGTATGCTGAAGAGTGCTCACATTTCATGATGCATGAAGCGATGATAAAGTCCTGCTTAGTGCACAGATGGGATCACCTTATACTGCCCATTTCATTGTAACACACTGACTAATGATGTTTTTCAATTATAATGGTTTATCCATATATAGCCCCATTGTAAGTCAGGGACCATCTGTACACATACAGAGAAGTCACAAAACATAAATGTACAGTTCAACAAAAGTTAGAACATGAACATACATGAGTCTCCCTTGGATGTCATTTCAGAATGTCTGCTTCCTTCCCCTTAGAGATAAACACTATTTGGACTTTTGTCCTTTTATTTCTTTGTTTTGCCTTGTCTTTCTCCATAGAATTTCTGGAACAATGTTGAACAGCAGTTGTAATAGCAGGCATTTATGTCTTATGCCAAAGTTCAAAGAAAAATATTTTAACATTTACCATGAGGTTGGCTTCAAATTTTTAATGGGCATTTTATGACATTAAGGAAGTTATCTATTATTTCTGGTTTGCTAAGACTTTTTATGAATAGATGCTGAATTTTATCACTTTTTTCCTGCATCACTTAAGATACTCCTTTTAATTTATGGTTTTCAAAGGCTTTCACAGAAGTTACTCCAGGACTAAAGTAGACAGGTAACATGTTTGGCTTTTCTTTCAAGTTATTCTACTTTTGATACCTTCTGCCATAAATCATGGAATATAAAGTTTGGGAGGAACTTTAGAGGTCGCCCAACATTACGATCTATCACCCAGTTCATGGGTCACCTCTATAGCTTCCAAAGCGGTTGGTTGTTCACTTGTCTGCTTGAATAATTTCAGAGATGAAAAACGTATGACCCCTCTCCATTCTCTTTTCAGAAAGCTCTAGTTGCAGAAAGTCATTTGTTATATTGAACTGAAATGCACCAAGTTTTACCGTATAGAACATGTAGTCAGTGGTCCTGTGAGGTGTAGGTAGAGGCCAAGTATTTAGTAGGAAGGATGAAGCTTCAGAATTAGGCAGACTTGAGCTCACTTCCTGGTTGAGTCATTGACAAAGCTGAGTGATTTGGGGTACTATGGCAGACCGTTAAACAGTCAAAAATTCCCAAACCCATCCCAGGATGATCCTCCTTTGCAATGTGACTTTGCAACTCCTCTCTTCTAGATTTAGAATGTATTTCTCCACCTCTGAAACTGGACTGGTCTTTGGACTTGCTTTGCCCAGTAGAATGTGGAGAAAGTGCCATTGGGAATGTCCTAGAGCTTGGTATTAGGAAGCCTTGCTGCTTCTGCCTTGGTCCTCTTGGAATGCTGCCCCAAGTCTGCTATATGAGGGAGAAATTTAGCTTACTAGAGGTGAGAGGATACTTGGGGGAGAACTGAGGTGCCTCAGCCAACAGCCCACAGCAGCTGCCAGACATGTGACTGGGGTCATCTTGGACCTCCCAGCCCAGATGACAATTCAGCTGAATGTAGAAGAACCACTCAGCTAACCCACAAAATAATGAGAATTCACATAACTCCTCGTTGGTTTTAGCCATTGAGGCACAAGGCTAGGGCTAACAGATACAGAAATGTTATTTAATTAAACTTTCTGAGTTGCTGTTTCTTTACTGTCAAATGGAAAAAAATAACTTTGTGCATGGTTATTAGTGAGGATTAATTAATATAAAGTATACGAAGTGTATAAGTAGCTGGCACTGTGATGAGTACATTGCTAGGGATAAATAATAGCAGTTATGATTTTGTTATATACACTTATAAAGTCAATACTCCTCATCATTAGCTTTTACTTTTCTAGGTGAAATGCTTTTCCCTTTGACTTTGCCTTGTGTGAGAAGCCTTCCTGGCAATTGACTATACTGGTCTCCTCCTCATTATCTTTCTCCTCATTACCTTCCCTCTATTTTGTTAATGTCTCTTCTAAAATAGTACAAAAGATGTGATTGGATCATGGCCTGTTACAGTGGGCCAGTTACCTTCAGTAATAACATGTTCCATGCAATAGGTGCCAAAACAATGTTTCTTTTATTAACCTAGCCCAAGTCAAAGTTCCTTTTTGATTTGGGACATTTCCATTGTCATGTATTCAGCTTGCTATGGATTATAACTCGCTTGTTCTGAGTTGAACTTCTGCGAAGTCAGGCTCCCCTGCCCTAAATTTATGCAGGTGTTTTCTGAAATGTAGGACTGAACATGGAACCTGAAGAGATTTATTTTTCTTAGTCTTAGCCTAGCACTCCAGCAGGCCAAGGAAATCTTGGTCATACGTCTGCCATTTGTTTTTCCAATGGGAACATCTAGATCAGGTGATCATTACTTCCATGTGTTATATTGGTTACTTAAAAATAAAGTGAACTAGCACAGAGCCAGGGAAGGAAACTCAAGGGACACCACTAAACACCTCTTCAAAGTCTGGCACAGAATAACTATATTATGCATACATGTTACTTCAACGCCTACAGATTGCGTTCGCACACATTAGCATGTTAATCTATGGCCAAATGTGCTCAATGGAGATCTATATGGGCAATAAAATTCTTTGCTGAAATCAAGATACACCACAACTAATAATGCTCTACTGAAAAAATTATTTATTGAGTAGCGAAATCACAATCCGTGTCTTTCCCTTTTGTTTATCAGATCACAGTGAATATAAAACCCAATAGTTATGAGTATACAATAAAAATCTTCTTAGGTCCGTGGATAAGACAGTAAATCAATCTACCCGCTTTCATGCTTTTAAGAAGTGAAAAAAAAAGTGAGTTTTGTGCACGAGCAAGGCATACCTGAAATTAGAGTGAGAATTGACTAGCATTCCCACGAAGCGTTTGCGTGTGAACACACTTGTCTGTTTTTCCCAGAGCCGGTGTATGATGGGGTTTTCCTTACTCTCCATCACCCCTTGGGAAGGGGATGGCAATGAGGGACAGGAGTGTTAATCGGGCGTTCAGCGTTTCCTTATCCTCTTTCACCTAGCCCCTTATCCACTGTGTATATTAGGTTGGATACACTCATCACTGAACAAGCAGGCAGATCCCCCCAGAGAAGTATGAGACTGAAGTTACCGGGCCTGTACGGAGTAAAATCCCACGTGCTTCGCGCTGCAGCAGTGGGCAAGGGTGGGCCGTGCGGACCTGGGCAGATCCCAGGGGGATGCTCCGCCCTGCGGGTCCCGGGGGTGCAGAAGAACACAGAGAGAGTAAGTTTCTCGAAGAGGCACGCTGTGGACGGGGTCCACCCTTCGACAAGGGCCGAACCGGCAGCGGGTACGCTGCTGTCTCCGCCAGGCCGGCGCGCACGCGCAGTGAGCAGAAGGGGGCCCGGACTCCCCGCCCGAAGCGCGCGCCTGCGCACTGAGCCGCTCGCCCTCCCGGAAGCGCAGCTCCCGCTCGCGCCACGTCTCTCCGGGCAGGTCCTCCCGGGTCTTCTCAGCCGCCGCCTCAGCCCGCTAGGGGCGAGCCGCACCTCTCCGGACTGGACCGAGAGCACCATGGGCAGCTCGGCCCCGCGCTCCGCCTGCGCGCTGCTCCTGCTGCTTCTGCTGCTGCGGGCCGAGCGGCTCCGGGGCGCCGAGCTCACCTTCGAGCTGCCGGACAACGCCAAGCAATGTTTCCACGAGGAGCTGGCGCAGGGCGTGAAGTTCTCCCTGGATTACCAGGTGAGGCTGGACCCGGCCGCGCGCTCTTCTCCTTCTCCCTTCTGGGTCTCACTTGGGCACTGGCGCGCCCCTGACCAGAGGGACGCGAATTAGCCACAGAGGCTGCAGGGAGTGGGCATCAGTTGCTGAGATGAATTGCCTTTCCCGGGAGGAGGAACGTTTGACTCAGTCAGAGCTCCCCAGGACGGGCCCAGCTGGCCCGAGAGGTGGTCATTCCTGCAGGTGCGCGCCCAGGATGGGGATGGCCGGGGACAGAGACCTCCTCAGGCCACAGGGACTCTAACGAACGCTGCATCGGCTGGACACGGGCTCTCAGTCTGTCCCCAAGTCTCCTGGAGCGCTTTGTCCCTGCAAGTACTGAAAAATGGCAGCGAGAGGAAGTGGGTTCATAGTTTGATTCCTCCGCCCCCTCCAGCGTTTAAAGTTGGATTCGGGGTGAGCGCAGCAGCGGTGAGGATGGGTGCTTTGGAAAGGAGGGCGCAGCACAGCCTTTGAGTCCAGGCATTGTTTACAAGGAGTAGTGGTGTGGCTGCCAGCTTTGGCCCTTGCCATATGGCTCAGAAACGCTCAGCTCACGTCTTCTTTAAGAGATCCTGTGGCTTAGAGTTGCCGGGAGTAGGTCTTGGGTGAGGGGTCTGCCCCTAAGGTTTAGTGAGCAGAGCTAGGGTTGGAAGTACCTAGTGGCATCAGACTCAGACAGCCATCTGCTTGTGGACACATGCTGGCAGGCAATCCAGAAATGAGGTGGCACGGGCAGCAGAACCTGGGGCAAGCTGTTAGATCAGCTTCTCTGGGAATAAGGCCACTGAAAGGGTACTTGTGCTTGGAGACCACTTCATGTGTGATAGTCTCAGTCACTGTTTCTCCACTTTCACATCTGTGTGGATAGCATGCAAATCGTGGACAGGTTTTTAGGTGCAGTGACCAAAACATGATAATCGTGTGGCTTGAGGGGCCTGAGATGTCATCTGGTCACTGCCAGGGCAATAATCTCCTGTTAAGGGGTGTCTAGCCTGGGTTTAAACGTCCCCAGCAACAGGACACTCTCTGCTTTATGCAAAATTTGCTGAACAGCTCTAGTTAGCTTTATCTGAAAAAGAGAATATTTTAAGTTTGGAAGCAGAGGGAGGCTGTTGACTGTGTCCTTGATGGACTTTGGTTATAGCCATTGACTACTGTGTGACTTTGCTGTATGTGGGTCTTACTTTTCTTACGTTTACAAGGAGAGTTGGAACTAAGTGATTCCTGAGGACTCTTCCACTTCTCACTGATTCTATGACTGCTTCAATCTATATTTTTCTCCTTCCATTCAGTCAGTAAATATTATTAGCAGTTTCTAGATCCACCCAGCAAACCAAGAATGACACTTGCTCGGGATCCTGTCTCTTATTGGAGGGAGAGGCAGTAGGTGCAGCGTGTGTTCTATCTGTTCGTGCTCCAGGGTGGCCTCATATCAGACTTCACCTCTCCACTGTCACTCCCAGGAGGCCAGTTTGCAGTCTGAGGATTGTCCAGTAGTTGACTGGCACTTGTTGGGCACTTGCTCTGTGTCCGACACTGTGCCAGACACTTGAGATGTGATACCTCATTGAATCCTCACCTCAACCTTATAAGGTAGGTATTACTACTTTCTAGATGAAGACACATCCTCAGAGAGTAAAGGACAGGGCTAATGAGTGGCAGTACCCTAAGGAAGTGACTTGCTCCATATCTTGTGGTAAGATAAAGAAGCAGTGGCATCTAGTTGCCTCATACAGTTTCTAGGGCAAATCTCCCTCCATCTTGCTCCTGGTTTCTGAAAGCCTTGTAGCCCCATCCCACCAAGAGCAGTTAACCTGGGGTATGTTCATTCATGCTGCAGAATAGACCATGGTAACATACTTGAACACTGGAGCCAACAGCCCTCAGGCTAAATCTCAGCTTCACTACTTTCTCTTGTATAGTCTTAGGCAGTTTTCTTAACCTTGGAGCCTCAGTTTTCTCTCTTATACAATGGAAGGATTAGGCTCATTGTACTCCTGCAGAGCAAGACATTTGGAGTCAGGCAGACATGGATTCAAATCACTTTCAAGTGGTGTGACTAGGGCAAATTTACTTAACCTCATTCAGCCACAGTAAAATGAGAAATAGCATAACATCTGCCTTAGAAGGTTGTGAGGAATAAACAACAGAAATGTTTGTAGAGTTTGATCACAGTGCCTGGTTGGCAAATGGTAAGTGGTGGTTGTCCCTCTGATAACAGCAAACTTTTTCTGGTTGTCAGGTCATCACTGGAGGCCACTATGATGTTGACTGCTATGTGGAGGACCCCCTGGGAAATACCATCTACAGGGAAACCAAGAAGCAGTATGACAGCTTCACACACCGGGCTGAGGTCAAGGGCGTCTATCAGTTTTGCTTCAGTAATGAGTTTTCCACCTTCTCTCACAAGACCGTCTACTTTGACTTTCAAGTGGGCGATGAGCCCCCCATTCTCCCAGACATGGGGAACAGGGTCACAGCTCTCACCCAGGTGAGTGGACAGTAACATTGACATGCCTGCTGGACCTCCCTAGCATTTTCCTCCTTTTCATCTCTGTCTCAGCTCCTGGGCTGAGTCATCGTCCTTTCAGCTCCCAGTTGGGAAGTCTCTTTCCTAAAGGACACTGTTGTCCTTCCCATCTTCCTTTCTGTTCACTAACCAGATTCCTGCAGTACATTCCTCTGCTCCTTCATTCTCATTCTGTCTCTCACACACTACCACTTTCGAAATACCGCTGTCATGTACCTCTCTGCTTATGTGATGTGTCTGTAATATGAAGACCAAAATCTTCCTTTGTGTGGTGTATTAGTTAAGGTAACACGAGGTGTCCTAACAGATGCACTCCACATACCACTGGCTTAATACAATAGAAATTTATCCTCACTTTTAATAATGTAGAGAAGGTTGGTGGGAAGCTTTCCCCCATGATGTGACTCAGGGATTCAGACTCTTTCTTTCTTGTCATCTTTCTGCCTTCTTTTAGGGCTTTGGAGTTCTCTGTCTCTAGCCACCAAAAGAAGGAGAGAAGGAGAAGACCCACTTGCTTCTTACAAGCCTGGGTCCAGTAGTCACACATCTCACCTCAGCTCATGTCCCATTGGCAAATCGGGATGGCAGACCTTACCTCTTGGCAACAACTCCATGCTGTGGAAGAGAAACCATGACATTTTTGGAGGACAGATAGTCATCTCTGTCACACATGACTCTCAAGGTTAAATTTTATCTGATCCAGCATCCTTCATGCATCTTCCCTTCTGCTATTTAAGCTCCTCCTTCCCTTTCTGAGGGCTAGGACCCTGGATGCTTTACTTTTGTATCCTCAGTGCTCCAGTGCATGAGGTGTGGCACAGAAAGGAACTCACCAAATATTTGTCAAATGACTGAGCGTCAGGGCCCAGGAAAACCTGTAAGACAGGAACAATCGTTGATGACTGCACTTGTTCCAGACCAAGGTCAGAGAGTCTTCTTGAGTCTTCAAAGAGGCATATTACCTTTTGGGTTGCTCTCCAAGGTGGTCCTATGCTTTGGACCTCTGTGACTTTGGGTGCAGTCATGAATTTCTACGCGTTTATTTGCCTAGTCTTCCACCTTCCCTAAGCAGTTGGAAGTTAGAGTTGCATTGTCCAATACAGTAGCCACCATCTACATTTCACTATTTTAGTTAATTGCAGTTAAACATTAACCTCATTTGCACTATGGCAATACTTCAAGTACTCAACAGTCACAGGTGGCTATTGGTCATGCATTGAAAGTTCCACAAGACAGTGCTGGGTTTGAGCTTGGCAATGTGACTGCTGTTAGAAGATCAGCCAAGCGTGTGTATTTGTGTGAGGTCTTTTGCAACCGATACTCTTGAGAGTTCAGTTGGCCACTGATGAAACAGCCTCTAAGTAGAAGATTATGTAAGTCTACAGAGCTGAGCTAAAGGACTTCCTTCTTTAACCAGTAGGAAACAAATTGTTAGAGAAAAGGCTCAGTTGATTAGGTCAATAGAGAACTTTCCTGGAGCTTGAGCAGTAGAGTTTGAATTTGTCGAAGAGTAATGTATGCTTCCCTTCTCTTATGTCTCAGAACCTCTTCTTTGCTCCTGCTCAGCCTCCAAAGAGGTACTTCCTTTCATTTCTGTACTCTGACCCCTCTGTCTTGAACCATCTGTGCCTGCCTTGAGAGCTGTAGCTCACCTATGGTCAACATTCACTCAGTCTATACGCTGTGCCTGCAGGGAAGGATGAGAGTGGATGGTGCTGTCCCTGGTGTCAGGAGCCCTGCAGGGAATTCACCCCTGTGGTAAAATTAGCCGTGGAACGCTATGGTCAGAACTGTGATTGAAGGACCAAGGGTCTAGGGGAGGCACCAGCAAATTTTTCCAGGTGAGTCAGGAAGGCTTCTGGGACATCTACTTCTGTGATTTCTCAGGTCAGGAAGGCTTCTGGGACATCTACTTCGTGATTTCTCTGGGAGAGCTGCAGCTTAAAAGTGAAATTGTGAGCCGGGCTCAGTGGCTCAGCCTGTAATCCCACGCCTTTGGGAGGCTGAGGTGAGTGGATTGCCTGAGCCTGCGGGTTCGAGACCCACCTGGGCAGCGAGACCTCATCTCTACAATAAATCAAAAAATCAGCCGGGCATGGTAGCGCATGCCTGTAATTCCGGCTACTCGGAAGGCTGAGATGGAAGGATTGCCGGAGCCCAGCAGGTCGAGGCTGCGGTGGCCGGGAGCGGTCACTGCACTCCTGTCTGGGCAACAGAGTGAGACTGCAACTCAAAAAAAAAAAAAAAAAAGTGAAAGTGTGGGAGGTTGCCCAGAGGTTTGGGCTCCTGGGTAAAGAGAACAGGTGAAATATATGAGGTATAACTTGGAGCTCTTCTCATTGGCACTTTTTATCTTGTTTGATTTGGATGCCCTTTTAGCAGCTCCTGTCTTATGTCCCTCACTACACTTCTTGCAGCACTGTGGCGGGCCAGAAGCTCTGTTTTCTGACATCAAAATATATACTAGAATGAAAGAATAGGATTCATAGTGACCAGGACCCAGGCCAGGTATTCAGCCCAGAGGGACTTGTCTCAGGCATGAGTTCAAGAAAACTGGCTCCTAGGAGAGCACATGGGCCAGGAAAACAGGGGAAGCCAAGCTTGAAGTGCTCCGACTTCCTAAGAGTCTGGGCAGACCCTGGTGGAGGCTGAAGCTTTCTGATGGAGGTCAAGAGTCAGGGCAACCCCAGTGGTGGTCTAGGAAGGAATAAAGGTTTTCCCGACCATGCTCTGCTTCCCTGCCTCTGAGTTATTGAAGAATTTGAAGTCTAGGTACTTCTGTCAGTGGAGGCCTGATGATGTGAGGGCTAGAGGGATTTACAGACTAAAGACCTCAGCATCAGCAGGTGGTAGAGATGGGGTGAATGTCAGCTTGGGAATGGAGTCATGGGGTGGTGCTGGAAGGGGCATGGGTCAGGGTGTCTCAGAGACCAACTGTTGTGATGGAGCAGTGACCATAATCCCAGTGAGGCTCCAGGACTAATGGTCTTAGCAGGATGGAAGGTCACATAGCAGGAGAGCTGGGACCCATGGCCCTGGGAAAAGGGACTCTGAAGCATAGGGTTCTGCTGGTTTTCTGCTGGGTGGGAAGCAGGCTGGAGGGGTTGCCCAACTGAAATTTTGTGGTAATGGACTGAAGAGATTTCTTTGAGACTAGCACTAACAGGAGATCTCCGTGGATAGAGAAATGGTGTGTTGTTATGGTAAGGGTAGGGTGAGTTTACCTGTGATTCTTGTATCTGTGAGTCTGTGATTCTTAATGTATTGCTCTGGGATCTCTTGTGGGGCCTGTGCCAGGTCCTAAAGGTGTCTGCAGGTTAGGTGACAAGAAAACTGTAGAATACCACCCTCCATTACCCTCTGGGAAATGGCCCCTTCCCTGTCACTGATCTGATCTTCTGATCTGAAACTTTTAATTCAAAAGCCACTGGATCCTCTTCCTGCAATACTAGTGCCGGTTCTGACTGGTGTCACCTGATCCAGGCCTTTAAAGTGATGCCCTACATGGATGTCTGACTTGTCCTATGTCTGGGGTGTCTACTCCTGTGATTTCTGTGTCCTCCCCCTTTCTCTGCCTCTTCCCTCCCTCCTTCCTCTCCAGTGATTTTGGACCCTGGTAGGAGGCTGGAGATGCTGACCAATGCTGCGAATTCTCAGGCCAGGGCCAGGGTCCAAGGAACTCCCAGTCGAATGAGTCTGATGCACACTTGGAATTTTTGATTGAGCTTGCGACAGAAATAAACATGGAGAATGGAATTCTAGCCTGGAAAGCTAAATGAACCCTTTCCTAGTATTTAAAAACAAAGTCTCCCTGGATTTATTTATATAAAATGTGTATATATATATGTATGTATGTATGTATGTTGTATGTGTATATATATGTATGTGTGTATGTTTGTGCATTGTATGTGTGTGCCATACACATTTGCACATATATAACCTGCAACCATGACATACATACATATACACATGTGTGTGTATTTCTGCCCCTCCCACTGAGTTCAAGAGTGATCTACTTTGTTATCAAGTCTTGTGACTGCAGTGCCCCAAACTCTATCAGATCCACTCTCCTTAACTTCAACTTCTCTTGCAAGCAGAACTGCAGCAATCTGAGTGGTTTTCCTGCCTCTAGGCTGGTTTCCATCCAACTCTTTCTCCATCATGGCTAACAGAGATGGATTCTTTTCAAGTAGGCTTCTAATCTCGCCAGTCTTCTGCGCACAGAGCAACATGATAAATCTTGACCTGAGAGGCCCCTTAATGTGTTCTGCCTCCTCAGAACTTCTTCCCCATGCAACCCCTCCACCACATCAGTTCCCGATCCTAGGCTGGGCCCTGCACAGTTCTGTATCCACACTTCTGCCACCTGGAATGCCTTCTTATCCTCAGCCTGGTGACATCCCACCTCTTGTCAAGACTCAACTTGTCACATGCTGTGGCTAGTCCTCTGTCTCCTCTGGCAGGATGAACAACTTTCTCGGTGAGAAAGAGTCTGTTGTCGACTCTTTTCACATTACATTACAGTTGAGTGATTTTTTTTCCCCTTCAAGTTGTGAACTTTCTGAGACCCAGTACTATGTCTGGCTCTGATTCTCAATTCTCTGGGTCTAGCATAGCACCTAGAAGACAATTGGGCATTGAATAAATGTTTGAATGAATGAATTAGTGGAAATTTGAGCTATGAAAGAAAACTCAGCATGATTTGAAATTCTTGTAGTCTCTCCTGAGTCCCCAAGCCCCATCTCTAGTTGTGATCTTCCAGGGATCACAAGGGAGATGTCAGTATGGAACTAATAATTTGCCTTCCCAAGTCTGAGGTTATAGGTAGTATCTGGCAGGGAGCACAGGGGAGACTTCTAGAAATGCCATATCATGAGTCATTTTGGCACGGGCTTATATAGGTTAAGCTTGGCTTCACATTGTGACCTCGTTCCTAGTTCCTTCCCAGTTTAGTCTCCTAGTCCATCTTCAGGACTGCAGGCATGTTTTAGTGAGCTTTGGAAGCATCCCCAAGAAAGGAGCAACCCCACGAGCACCACCATTGCCCCCTAACATTGCAGGTCTGCACCTGAGCCTTCTCTTTGGGTAGTTGGCATTTGAAGCCAGTTGGCACTTGGAAGTCCCTTTTGGAGTCAACTTCTTGATGTTAGGAGCCCTTCTCAGGATTGTGTGTCCCTTTTTCAATATCAAACATCTGTAGGGATAGCCTGCCTAACAAACTTGAGGAGGTGGAGAAGCCCAGTGCCAAGAGGAGATGGTCTGTAGCCCAATATAACAGGGCATACAGGATGTCACTGGGAATGCAGGACAAAGGTACCCTTTGGGAACACATTGAAGCACAGACTTGTTCTCCACTGGATTCTGTTCCTTGAGCTGGTACCCAATCCAACTCCACCAGTTCCATATGATACACAGTGACCATGTCACCTTTCTATCTATGTGACATTTCACCGCTTCTTGCCCATGGATCCAGATAAGAGAATCAGCTATCATATGTAGAGGAAACCCATAACCTGGGGGGTAGACCAGTTGCCTGACAGATGGAAGCTGCTGCCCCCTAAGTGCAGAAGCTGCAGGGACACTTTTGTTCTTCCTTACACGGTCTAGTTGAGCTCCTAGAATACCCAATGAGGCAAGTAATGGCAGCACCATTTTTTGGCCATAGTTTTCTGTTTACTTTCTAGAAATGGTTCAACTTGAGAGAAAAACGAGGGTTCTTGGGGAGGGAAGTCATATGTGATTTCAGTCTTTTCTAGCTTCTAATATCTCTTTTAAATAGTTTGCCTTTGGAATTTGGAAACGAAAGCAAGTGTGCATACTTTATGAATTTCTCGAGCCTGAGAACTTACTGTTGGGATAGAATGTTCTAGGTACACTGGTGTTTTAGAGGCTGATCTGAGTAAGAACTCACATTCTCCCACAGGCATAATGTATTAGCTGTCTATTGCTCAGTAACAAATTACCAAGACTTAGCAGCTTAATATAATCTCCATTTATTACCTCACAGTTTTGTGTTCTGTATGTCGGCCTCTGGTCTGGGTCTCAAAAGGCTGATATTGAGATGGTTAGCCAGGTTCGGCTCTTCCTGGAAACTCTGGGGAAGTGTCTGCTTCCACGTTCATTCAGGTTGTTGGTGGAATTCAGTTCCTTGAGGTTGTAGGACTGAGGTTCCCATTTCATTGCTGACTGTTGTGTCCTCAGCCTCTGGAGGTCTTTTTCTGGTGCTGGCAGGTGGCACCTCCACCTTCAAAGCCAGTGTGGTGCTTTGAATTTCTCTCATGTTTCAAATCTGTCTGAATTCTGCAACCATCTGTTGAAAGCTCCCTGCTTTTAAGGGCTCATGCAGTTATTTCAGGCCACTGAATAATCTCCTGATGCTAAGGTCAAATGTGTCCTATAACATGAGGTAGTCACAGGAATGACAGCTCATCATATTCACAGGTTCCTACGATTAGGGCAGGGAATCTTGGTGGAGGTGTTAGGATGCATTTACAGAATTCTGCCTATCACACTGAATGCTTTAGCAGGTAAAGAAAGCTGTGAAACAGTGTGTATTACATATGAACATATTGTGCATATGTGTGCATGTTTATACATCTCTGTGTCTTTGTATGTGTTTGTGTATACATGAGACATGCATGTCTTCATGTATTTGTGTTTATATGTAAAACTATAGGCAGCAATTACATAATAGAATGAGCAGCGGATTTAGAGTGCATCACAATTGTGGTTTGGTTCACATTCTACTGTGTGGCCTTGGGCAATTCATGTAGCCTCTTCGAGCCTCAATTTCCTCATCTATATGTGGGATAAGTAGTCAGTCAGCCCTCCTTAATAGTGAGGATCATAAGCCATGCATCTTAGGAGTATTGTGAGGATTAGATAAGAGAACACAGGGCAGTGCTTGATAATAGGCTCAGGACCAGGACAGATGAGTCAAAATAGAGACTTATGCCTTTATTTCTTTGTGTCACTTACTAACTGTCTGACCCTAGGCAAGTTCCTTAACCTCTGTGAGCCTCAGTTAGGCTTATGGTGAGGATTAGATAAATCAAATAAAACCCTTAGCACAGAGACATGGTTGGCAGTCAGTAGCTGTTTCCCAGGATGTTGTAGACAACATTTGCTGTCTGCTGTATCCCACTCTTCTAGACTCAGACTAGCAATGTGATGCTTTTCTCTTCTTGCCCAGATGGAGTCCGCCTGTGTGACGATTCATGAGGCTCTGAAGACAGTGATTGACTCCCAGACGCATTACCGGCTCCGGGAGGCCCAGGACCGGGCCCGAGCGGAAGACCTGAACAGCCGGGTCTCTTACTGGTCTATCGGCGAGACGATCGCCCTCTTTGTGGTCAGCTTCAGCCAGTTGCTGCTGCTGAAAAGCTTCTTCACAGAAAAACGGCCCATCAGCAGGGCGGTCCACTCCTAGCCCAGGTGTCCTGCCCCGGGGCCCTGCACACCCCAGGGTGGAGCAGCTCTGCTAGGTCACAGGCTGCTGGGCTAGGGGTGCAGTTCAGGGTTGGGTGGAGCTGCATAGAGGAGTGCACAGGGTGGGTGCTGGTATGGCGGTCCCTTGCCTTCCACACTGATGCTTGGTCCTTGCACCCCAGTAGCTGAAGCCTAGAGCCCAGTAACATGAAGGTATCCAACTGCGTTCTGTGTGCAATACTGAAAACATGTTTACAGTCAGGCTGGGTACTGGCCACTGTGGGAGGTGGGCAGACAGCAATCCAGAGGCCGGGCTGATAGGAGGAACCCCGAGTGCTCAGATCACTGGGCAGCTCAGGGCCTTGCCTTTACTCGGTGATGCATGGGGTCACTTGGCTTGTGCGTCCTGTCCTTGTGCGGAACACAGGGGCTCGCAGTTCTGGCTTTTCCTCCCATGGGGCTCTCTGCACCTGTGAAAACCAGGCCCTGAAGCAACATTGCAGATCTGCCCACCCCAGGTGAGAACTGGTGTCAGCCAAGCAAGCAGGGCCGGAATGGTGCCTGGGTGCCTTGGTGAGTGGAGTGTTTCCCAGGAGACAGAACTATGGCTAATAAAAAGCAAGTGGAACACCCTGGAGACTTGTGGCTTTATTTCTTTGCGCTACAGGAGATCACAGCTTAATGAGGAGCATGAGTGTGTACATAAACAATGGAGTGTGGTAGAGCTAGCCTAGGGAAGTGCTTAGGTGCTGTGTGCACAGAGGTGTGTACACAGGGCAGGTAATGATTCCTTCAAGGTGAGGAAGACAGTGAGGTAGGAAATCTCCCTGCTGGTCCTGTCCCACACCAGGCCATGCAATGGGTCTTTGTAAATGCTTTTTTGTCAATGAGAACACCCTCTCCCTAATGTTTGTAGGACCTATTTCATCATTTCCTTTCTACCAAATGTTACATATTCAGTGACATCTCCCCGAGCCACTCTGTTCATGATGGCACTGCCTCATTTGTCCTCCTTGCCCACTAGTGAGAAATCAGTGTGTACTGGTCAAGTGTCTGTGTCATAGGTCTTGAGGCAAGATGGGATGTCTGCCCTAAACGAAGCCTATCAAGAAATCTGAACTCCTGAGCTGTCTGGCAGGTGTTAATCATTGTAGGAAGGGGAGCAAAGGAACCTCTTTTCGAAGATATCCCATAAGGCTTACTTACTTAGCTTGATTGAATGATGAATAGTTCTTGCATTTTGTATGTTTCTGATGCTATTTCTTTTCCCTCTCTTATTTTAAAATCATATACTGAGTATATATAAAAGATTACTTAGGAAATATATCCAGCATAGAGTGAAATACACAAAAATCCCAGGTACCCACCACCTAGATGAAGCAGTGGAACTACCCATAGGTCCTAGATGCTCCCTAACTGTCCTCCCCTCACCCGCCCTCTGAGGGACCCACCAGCCTGGATTTAGTGTTTCTTAATCGCTGAGAAAGGAGTTTTCCCAAAGCTCCTCATGTGTCCTCCACTTTTTAATGAGAACAAGATCTTTCCAACCTTCAAAAACGAAAAATAAGAGATTGGAAGTGACACCTGTTTTATGCACTAAGTAAGTAAGGCTTAGGAGGTATCTTCTTAAAGGGGTTCCTTTGCTTCCTTTTCTACAATGCATTATTAACACCTGCCAGACACCTCAGGAGTTCAGATTTCTTGATGAGTTTACTTCGGGGCAGACATATCTGTAAATATATCTGTAAACACTTATATTCCTTGTAAGAACAAAAACCCCACCCTGCTCATATTAAGAGATAATGTTGGCAATAAAGTTTGCTTTTTATACTTACTATTTATTAAATGCTTGTGTTTTGATCAATTATGTACTAATAAGAGTTGTGATAAATAATCCAGAAGAAATTTTTTTTTAACACTTAGAGCTTTATAGTTACAACTATATGAAACAAAAGTTAAAATCTAAGACTTTGTTATGGGGACATACTATAGGGTGCTCAATAAAACAGTTTCAAACATGAAAAGAACAGTTCTATAAGAAAAGCAAAGTGGAAGTGTGAATTTAAGGAGGAAAAGGAAAGATGGAAAGTTCTGAGCATTAATTTATGGGTGATGATGGTATCAAGTCATTCTGATAATTAGAATCCATTGGAAACTAATAGTGATGTTAAAATAGTGATGTGACTTTAAAAAAATTAATGTTTAATATATGCCAGAGATGACCTCCATTTTAACTATTTAAATTCATGGTGAAAAATTTTAGATGTCAATTTATAAATGTATGAAACTTCATGGTTTTTCAAGTTCTCTTAGAAGATACACAAGAAAAAGAGAAGATGCTGCTTTGGTTTGCAACCAGATCCCCTGGGGAGACTTTCTTCCCTTGACATCTGGGCACCTTGGTGGAAGAGGGTGTTTTGCATTGGCATTTGAGTTAGAGAACTGGGTTGGGTCTGACTCTTCCGGATTTGAATCTGGGTCTACTGTGTGCTAATTGTGTCATTTTGGGCAAGGTACTGAACTTCTCTAAACCTTAATTTCCTCATCTGTAAAATAAGGGAGTATTTTTATTGGGTAGGGACTTTGGGCTTTATGCATCATTGGTGAGCAGAATTAGGATTCACCCTATTCGCAGTAAGATCCATTTGAACTTGAGATCTGGATGCTACTGATGGGTGGAGTTTGGAGACATGTCTATCTTGCATAGAAAATTGAGAATGCCCCAGCAAAAAGAGATAAGACCTCTGACTCTTACTAAGGTTCTGGATTATTAAGAGACAGATATATTTTAGCCGGGCTCGGTGGCTCAGCCTGTAATCCCGCGCCTTTGGGTTCGAGACCCGCCTGGGCAGCAAGACCTCATCTCTACAATAAATCAAAAAATCAGCCGGGTGTGGTAGTGCATGCCTGTAATTCCAGCTACTTGGAAGGCTGAGGCGGAAGGATCGCCGGAGCCCAGCAGGTTGAGGCTGCAATGGCCGGGAGCAGCCACTCCACTTCAGTCTGGGCGACAGAGTGAGACTCCAACTAAAAAAAAAAAAAAAAAAGATATATTTTAAAAATTTGTCTAATGAAGTATGGTTTGCTCTATATCATAGATTTCAAGACAGAGTCATACTCTCCCATAAGTAATTGTGAATCTGGACAGGCAAACTAGCCTTGACTCCAAAGACCAAGAATTGGCATGTAGTACTGATTCTGAGCTCTTGGAAATGCAGCCGTCTGGCAGTAGAATGACTGTATGGTGTGAAAGTGTTTTAATATTCGCGGCCTAGGCAGGACACCCTCTACAGAATGACCCCGAGGGGGGAGGGGATATTTTCTTTGATAAAGATAATTTTCTAAAAAAAAAAAGGATAAATCATAAATCTAATACAGATATAAAATGAACAAATGCTAGGGATTGTATTTTACTCATTAATTAATGAGAGAACCAGCCAGATGTCATAATGATGCAAAAGATAATTCAAAAAACAGACACATTTATACAGGGTTGTATAATAGCTCAAAGACATTGAGCTGGGCTGGAATCAGCAACCTAGAAGGATGTGCTATGTGAAGAAAACATAGTTGCTGGTAGGGTGGGTTGTCCAAAGGTCATGAAGATGCATTAAAGTTCTTGTCTCATTTGGGAAAATCTATTGATCTTGATGAGTTTAGAAAGTCAACAGGGGCAAGTAAATATGCATTTGAACCATAGTAAAGGGAAGTCACCATAAGAGCAAGATTAGAAGAAATAATTTTGGAATTAGTAAAAGAAAACTTGATCTATTCAATGAAAAATTGAAAAACGGCAGTGCGGTAAATGAAAATGGGAAATCAAATATGTATACACATATATATTTCTAACAGACACTACCAATTAAAAGGCAAAGACTCAAATGAAATAAAAATGTAAGATTCAGTAATGTTTTCTAAAGGAACATACTTTAAAAAGCACACAAATATTAAAAATAAAAGGATGAAAAAAGACTTTCCAGGAAAACACCAACTAAATGAAAAGTGAGATAATAGTGATAGGATCTGACAAAATAGAAGGCAAGACAAATTATTGTACCAAACAGAAACATTATATGCTAATGTTAAAAGAACTAATGAAAGGAGAGAAAGAGCAGGTAGATACCACCACCATCGATGGATGCAGTTGAATAACAGTTTGAGAACACATAAAGCAACACACAGAATTGTTCATCAAGCTCAGAAAGAGACAATTCTCTACATCTGTGGGCAGAGCCCTCAGGCGTTGTAAGGCCAGACTAACCAATGCAAAAGCTCTTCAGCTTAGTTAAATGGATGGGTTCGAAATCAGAATGTAGGGAAGTTGGAGTACATTCAAGCTGTTATTTTACCAGAATCTTCCTCCCTCTAAGACACAACAAACTTAAGGACAACCCTTATTTATGCCTAGATATGGACAGCAATAGTTCAATAGTTTATTGTGATCAAGAAGATGTTACCTTCCGCGAGGTGTGGCCAGTCTGCTGGGGCAAGGTAGGCAACTTCTCGGACAAGTCAAAACCTGCAGGCCCATTCTCACTTATCACTGAGCTTTAAGAGGCCCAGGGTGACTCCTAGAGATGAGTTTGCAATTTCCCATGGATTAATATCTCTCTCCTGGAATACAGTTGGGTGAGATTCTAAACAAAAGAAGTCTGATCTAGTATTTATGATGTGGTATTCTGGGCTTTAATATTGCATGATATGGAACATAAATCCTAGCAATTTAATTTTGTCATTTCCAAAGTTTCAGGTTCATGTTCTCTCTGGCCTTAGGGAAAACCATGACTGAGGTAAAATTCACGGCCACTTTAATTCCCAGCCTGCACCAGAATGAATGGTTCTTGACTGCCCAGTATTCCATCTTTGTGTCCTCTGTGCTTTGACATGTTCATAACTCCTACTCTTGCACTTTCTATTCTGACTGCCTGGTTACAGTGGGACAGTCTTTAAACTCCACATATTCTAAGACAGTCATTTTTGGAGAGCCAACAGCCAGAGTGCATTGGGGCTACAGCTTCACCTGGAGCAGATCTACTGGGGAGACCATTCTCCTGTGACATTTATTTAGGCAAAATTATAAGAGTGCTGATAGAACACTTTTGGCCATACTCACATGCAAGCAAAATCTAACACAGTGGAATGACAGGTTTTGGAGCAAGTTTGGGGAGAACCTGTCTTTCTAGCTTTGGTGGCAATGACAGACTAGGCTGTCGTTAACTCCTTGCTCACCACCAGCCTGCTGTATCATGGCAACCCTAAACCAGACAGGGTACTTGCATAATGTTTACCTATTTTGAAGAAATCACGCAGAGGGCAGGTTGGTAAAGGTAAGGGTTTATTATTACTTACAGGAGGGAAACTTGGATGGCTGGTTGTATAAGGTTTCTGTATCCCAACAGATGTGGGGAGAGATTACATACCCCCAACGTGGGAAAGGGAGCAAGCATGTCCCAAGAAGAAGAAACAAAGATGTTTTCTCTTGGAAGCTGTCTTGAGTTCTCAGATATGCGTGTCTTCAAGGGCATTTCTACCAGACACAAGTGGCCCTGGTCAGGGGCCATCCTCTCAGTTGGAAGACAATTATCAGCAGGGGAGAAGTAGCTGGGTGCATGTTCTACATTTACTCCACACCCTGCA